CTACTCAATATTAAATAAGGTAATGATAGAAATAAAACTAAAAATGAGTGGTAGATGTACACTGTAGTGAATATAAAAAATATCAGTATTTTCCTATGTTTGGTTGTTTATAATTTAAACAAATATTAGAAAATCAGTGTACTGCTAAGTGGTGGTTGGTAGTCAGTCACGTATTCATACATCATAAATTGACGGATCATTGTAAGTGAGTGAATATATGTATGTGTGTGTGTGTGTGTGTGTGTGTACAAACGAATCCAAAACAGTTTAGGCAACTGACGATCAATGAAACACAACCGGTAAAGGATATAAATTTCCTTTTGTTTGGCACTTAAAGTTATTAGCATTTTTTTCTACTATGAAAACATAAAATTTCTACTGTTTCTACGATTTTTGACCTTGAACCTCTAATAACAAATATTTAATTAACAACAATAAGGAGAAAGTTGTCAAGTGATACTCTGGTTTCTCGACTTACCTGAATGTATGTGATCGATGTCGCTGATTCCTTCCGAATAGTCATTGATCGGAATAAGTTTGAGAAGATTTTGTAAGAGCATCATTTTGGTTCAGTTGCGGCAAAAAGCCATTTTGGTAAATGGAAATCTGAGTATGGCTTTGTGAATTTATTGATCTTTGCAAATAAGTAACCTTATACGTTTTTTATCCAGAAGCTGATCCGATTCCGACTTTCTTTTCTGTTTTCACTACTGGATTTCATGGAACCACATTTTTCAATCTTTTTAGTTGGATTTCGATTGAATAAAGAAGAAAAATGCCATTTTTAAAACAACTTGAAGTAAGAAGTATGGGTGAAAAATACGATGATAATGAACAAAAAGGTATAGTAGCATTAGAAAATATTAATAAGGGTGAATTAGTATCGCGGTGTGATCTGTCAATATGCAATTATGATTATCCTATTAAAGAAGGTGATCATTGTACAAGAGATGAATTATTAAAATTAATTGAAAAATATCCATTAGCAAAACAATATCTTACTTCCTATTCTGTTATGATTGATGATAATTGTTTTTGGATACCAAAATATTATAAAGAATGTAAAATAACAGAACCATGTGTATATTTTAATCATTCATGTGATCCAAACTGTGCATATTCTGATGATGATTTATTATCAGTTTCTGCAATAAAAGATATTCATGTAAATGAGGAATTAACCCTACATTATGGTACAGTTGATACAGAAGAAAGTTTATTATTAGATTTAAACTGTAAATGTGGATCAACTAATTGTTCTAAAATATTGAAATTTGATTGGTACAAACAAGGTGAATGGCAAAATAAATTTGAACAATATTCAACTGGTTATATAAAACGTAAAATAAAAGAATATCGAGAAAAAGACAATAATTAAAGTTGAAATGAAAAGGTTTCAATAGGACAGTATTAACGATATCTCAAATTAAAGACTGTTCTTACCTATTTCGTCTCCTGTTCAAGGCATGTGAGATACCGCCGCACACACATACTTGTATTATGATCATTTTTTTTGTTTTTTGAATAAGTCAAATTTTTTGTTTTCC